TGAAATATCGCGATATTTCAGTGTATCGATATTTTCTTACACCCCTAGTTTACAGTATATCATAGCAATTTTTACATCAAAAGCAACACAGTTCAAATATTTCGAGACATGAACTGAGAATGATAGATTGGTTTATTGGTTTGGGCACAGCAGAGTTCAGCCCACACAGCTGGACTTAAAAGTCTGCCAATTCACAAGTTGTTTCCATCAGCTCCTGTGTCTGTGTTAGCAATCCTAGCAAACATAAAAAAAAAAGCTAGCTCAACCAATTAAACAGATACGGAGGTAAAGTTTGGTGTAGTAGGAGGTGAGACTCATCCTCAACACACATTTTAAGTGCTCACAACCAATACTTCATGAGATCTCCTGCTACTCCCTTCACCCTCATCATAAGATAATTTCAGTTTTAAAACCTCTGGCAGGAAGGGCAACAGGCCAGACACATTCCTTTTAGTAATATTAAGTCTTTAATTTAATGTGTTTTGGCTAAGAAAACACGAGCTCCATCTCCTTATTAAATAATTAGCRTGTCAATCTGGGTATTGTGTTACCACTGATGCGAATCAGAGAAGGATCTGTTAAATACCCACAAATACCTCAGAGTCAACTGACACGAAYGCTGATTGAGCACTTTCACAAAGTGATTCCCGTCAGTCCGGCTTCTTGTCTCATTCAGAGCCTCGTATATAGGAGCTGTTTAAATGATTTCGGCATGTTTTTTTTTTTTCATAGAGAATGCTGCTCTGATCAGGCTCTGAACACAAACGAAACAACGTCAGGATGACTGGATCACGGAGCTGCAGAGGGTTTTAGGTTCCAAACAAAAGCCTGGGCTCAGAGAGCACGGTGTGTGGCCAAACGCTGATCGATGCTCTGGGGGAGCATTTCAGTATCACTGAGGTTTCTGTTTAACATTAATGCAGAAGGCTGCTGGAGAGTTTCTTGCTCAAACGTTAAAGCGTGTGCGAGTGTTTTTAATTTTTTTCTTACCTGTAAGATGGGGCTGCTTTGTGTGTTGGGGAAAGTGAAGGGCCTGTCGAGCCAAAGAATCAGGTTTTTGCGAGACAGATGTGCACTCCTGGGCTGCAACCCCTCTTCCTCCTGGCTGAACAGGCGCTGATAGTAGAGCCGGTACGCAGCTTTCAGGGATAGAAAAAGAGCTAACCATCTGGGAGAGGAAACAAACAAAAAAAACATTGAGTTTGTTCTAGAGCAGGGATGGGAAACTGGCGGCCCGCAGGCCACTGCCAGCACACAGATGACCTCTGTGTGGCCCGCCAAAAAAATAATTTTTGGAGGGAGGTAGACTGTTCATAGAATTTCAAGGCAAACTTATGTGTTTAGTCTGCTTAGATACGCTGTCTGCCATGAAGGATTTTAATAAAAGTCGCCACTTCAACATGCTGCACAAAGCTAAATATGAGAAGTTTACTGAAGTCGCAAGGACGWAAACAACAGCAACTTTTTACCAGAATCACAACCACGCAGGACTCAAGGTGTCCAATGCTGTTGCAGTTCAGCTTCAAACACTTCATATTCATATTTATAAAATAAGAGTACAACTGTTATACGTGCATTATATGCAAAGAGCAGGAAATATGTTAATGCAGTGTTTTTCAGGGGGCGGGGGTGCCAGGGGGTGCTTCAGATTAATTTTTTTTTAATTTTTGCTTTTTTTAAATCTTCTCTCCAATTTTCCAAGAAATGTTTTAAATCATTATCACAAAAGTGAATCTGTTTTTCAATCATTTTTTTAAAATATCATTTATAATAATATATTGAAATGAAGACTGATTTGTTTTATTTTGTTCTTATCATCAACAGTTTGTTAAAAAGCTGGTTTTTCCACAGGAACACAGTAGGGCTGTGTATTAGCAAGAATTTGGCGATACAATACATATCATGACAGATGGGTCACGATACGATATATCCTGATATATTGCGATACTGTAAGCAAGAAAACATATTGCGATTTTTTTGTCCAAAAATTATATTAAATAAAAACGTCTTACAGGGGAAAAAAATGAAAAACCAAAAATTCATTGTCTCAGAAAATTCTAATATTACATAGACATGCTTTTGATACATTTTGCTTTGTATGTTTTTTATTTTATTTGTTTCATATTTCTTATTTCATCCATGTTTTCAATTATTAGACTAAATTTG